TCTGTTTGTTGGATGCGTTATTTAGAATCGCAACACCAACATTCCAGAATTTCGAAAAGAAGGATTAGCCAGTTTAATCATTCACTTTAATGGGCAAACAAGAACCTGCTTAAAGAAATCCGAGGTAGTCAAATCCAGTTTTTATGCACAGAGTTCAGCAGTGTGTTTTGATGAGAAATGACCTTTTTTAAAAACGACTGGATGGAGGCGCCGTAGGAAATGAAGCAAGGGTAGATATACCAATAACAATGTTGTTGGACGGCTTGCCAGTGCAGACGAATCATTAATAAGCGCATGGGTTTGTGTTCTTGAAAATGTTGGCAGCCATTTTTACAGAAAGGCACATAAAGGGTTATCTGGTAAGAGTCAGCCGAGTTCAGACGACGAGACGCCTTGAAAATACACCGCGCCACATCTACCCGACGCTGCTGAATGAGCGAATACAGCGCTACAGTATCCAGACCTCTGTCTTGAGGGCACGGCCAGTCCTACGCGCTGAAATTTGCCAAGAAAATTCAGAAATGAATTAACAGAGGGGCACATTTGAGTGTCACTACACCAGTAGCGAGTTTAACTATTCTCCTCTCCCTCCTTTGAATGTGGTTCTCAACTTGCTACATTCGGAGACGATGGCATCTAAAGCGAAGTACATGCTTTTGAATTGTCTGAATCCTGCTTTTAGCTATACAGGAGGCAATCAGGGCAAGTTCACTGAGAGGATTCGAGGTTCGTTCCTTCTGTCTGATTCTACATTTTTTCTGGTCTCTGTCATATTTGAAGAAAGACCAGAATTTACAGTTAAAATTGTGTGGAGGCTTTTCGATCTCTTTAAAATGGTGACGGGCTGATGTCAATGAAGCGATCGCTGTCATTTGGTGGCGGGATATCAAACAGATAACAAATAAGTCACATCCCCTTTAAAACTACCTACTTTTAAAATGATTATGTCCCTAAAATGTGGGTGTATATAAAATTGCATTAACTAGAATTTCATGTTTATTTGAAGCCGACCCCAAAAGGGTGTCTTCGTTGATTTTTGGTCACGCGTCCCATAATCTACCTAAATAGCATGAACCTCTATTTTTCGTAAAAGTGCATATTCTGTCGGATGTCTGATATACTTCGTACCGCATGCACAAAAATAATACCAGACATTTCCCGCCATATTGTAAAAATGCAGAGATTACTTAGGTTAAGTTATAGTATTGATAACCAGAGAACATGACTAAAAGTCACATCTAACGATACCGTGTGTTACTCTTTGGACTACCATCCTTCAACTGCCCTGGTAGATTGATTTTGGAGAATCATTGCTTGCTCAAAGTGCGAGCCCTCAAGACGCTTGCGGTGTTATTCATTTGTTCAACTAAAGCACTAAGTTCTAATATGAATGCAGCTCGCAAATTAAACTATGTGATTCATGCTCATTGCAATCTGCTGCAAACATCTGAATGACACTTCGTAGTGGCAGTCAAAGGAATATGGAGTATAAACGCTTGTCATCACTTTATATTTTCGATATACCGTTTTTAAATAAGGTTGTCGATTAACGGATCGTCTAAGTAATCCAGAAGACGCCCGGGAATGACCGCTTTCGTCTAGAACGTCGGGATTGCTGCATTATAAAACCTCAACAAAAATATGGCCAACTACCGCGCAATTTAATGATATCCCCTCATGTCATTGGCATAGTAGATGATAGAGTTCTAAAAACGTCCGATTGTATCCGAGGACTGGAATGAGTTCAATTAAGAGTTAAACTTCGCGAGAATGTTTATCGAAAGAACACATGAATTTGTGCAACAAACATGATCGTAGTATTAACATTAATTTCAACGTTGTTTCACTCATGAAATGCGGTCACCGGCAACACGCTCTCTACCTCGTCTTTTTTGCATTTCATTCTTCCTCGAAATATCCAAGTTTGATAGTTACAGCGATTCAGCTTACGTTGGCCGTTGGTTTTTTTTTCTCACATTTCCGGCCACCTGGCTGCTTCACCTATTAGCCTGAGTGCTATCCCCTGAAGAAGGGGGAACGATTATTGCGGTAACTTTATTTTGTTGGCCTGAATTCTCCAACGACGTGCTGCCCTTCATCATCATCAGAGACTGACGGGTCCCATAAGGGAGGATGGCCACAGCTTGCTTCACTTTTTGTCTGCACGACTGTGGTCTGGCGAGAAGTCTCCAGACGGCCGCTGGGTTGGATAGCTGGCCATCAAAAGAGGATGGCCTTTGCGCGCAGTCCCTTTGTGAGGTTGTCCTCGCTTAGGGTGTTTTCGTAAAGCCGCCTAAGGTTTGGGAGTTGAATATGAAGGTCGGCCGAGCGGACGTCTAATAGCCATACCCTTTAAACTTGACTATCATGACGATCTAGATGATTTTGACATCGAACACATGGCCAACCAGGGTGATATGCATCGCAACCTGCGTACTCTCTTTCGCCCTCCGCGTGCATCTTAGTCTTCAGCTGTCGGCCGGTTTCTCTAGCTTTATTGTGTTCATCGCAATTGTATTGTGGCCAACAGATGATGGATGACTTCTCTTGGCTGGAAATTAATTCTTTCGGTCAGAAGTGGCGGTTAAGCGACGGTTTGGACGTGTGGACGCCTTCAGCCTTAGCAGTCTGAAGACCAACTTCGCGATATAGGCTTGCTGGTTTACACCATTCTGAATCTTTGGCGTAACCGACTCCTCTTAATGTACATGTGAATCTATTCTGCAACTGTAAGCAGCTCCGAAATATTATTCACTTCCCTCTCTTGGCAGCTGTCGCGTTTCAATGGACGTCCAGCCGCCGGTACAGCATGCACGCACGATAGTTCAGCCGTCGTTGCCGACGATGTCCACCGTGTGCTCCACTACCAGGTGAGAGCGGGGACGGATACTTGTGCGTTATTTTTTTTTATAGCGATAGTAGACTTGCACAGCAGCTACCACATTCTCTCCTCCTTCACCACCTGGGCCCGGTGTCAAGACGGAGTCAAGAAGACCGAAAGCGGGTGAGGGCGCAGGTGGATGGCACTGTCAAGCCCGCACCTTGGCTTTGCACTCCACACCCCCTGGTCCGCACGGCAAATGACCAAGTTTTTGACCAACGAAAACAATGGGGGAGGGGCGGCAGGGGTTCCGAGTGGGCACGCCGTCCCCCCCGCACGCCTAAAGGTTGGCATTTGTTATGGTGCGCAAATCCGATAACGCATGCCAGAGTCCGATATGGTTCCCGTGTTGGTCCCGCGCATTTACCACGTTTGGGGGCACATGCATACACACCCACACGCAATTCCTTTGGCATCACAGAACTTGGCCGTTGTGAAAGCGTAGGAAATGCAGTGTGTTCATTGGTTTTCTGTTGGTATCCTCTTCCGCAGGTGACCAGTGGATTAGTAGCTGATGAGTGCATTTAGGAAGGGGTGCCCTTCGTCCACTTCTTTCTTTGTATGTCAGGGACGACTAGTTCAAACTCCAGCTCTCCTTGACCAGCGGTCCATCTGGCGTTTTAAAAATTAAGACCTGGTCAACCCCGAAAGCGATGATCTTACCCATCGCATAAACACTGCATGTAGTTGGTCATCTAACAACATTTTGGCGTCAGAATTCGTTAGCTTCTTCTTACCTGCTAATTTATCGTTGTAGCGTCGCTCCATAGGTACTCAGATGTCTATCAGCCAGTTTTCTGGATCAGTCTGACTTGCCCATTCCAAAAGACTGTCAAGTCATCCTCGCCTGGTCAAGTGGCATTATCTGCGTCAGATCAGCAGGAATAGCGGCTGGATAGGAATCCCCTCCAGCACTTTGGTGCAAGATCACCTATAATACGCGAATGGTGCTTAAAGGACTTTCACGGGTATGGCCTTTAAAAGGGACGGGCGAAATGGTTGAAATTATATATCAAACTACAAGAACATGTTTATACCACATGCTTATTCTCAGTATATTAAGTGAATCTAAACTCAAACCCCTGCAGTATAAGAAGTAGCCAATAGGAAACCGCGCGATCCCACACAGGAAAAGTTACATGCGTGTTTTCGGGAAATGTCCAGGTAACTGGACTGGAAATGGAATAACTAATTAACTTTCGATAGGCCTTGCATCACCCCTTTTAATACCATTCCCAGGCTGGAGGAGATCTTATGCCGAAGCACTAGAGGTTGTATATATTCAAATTCCACCAAAAAGGCTTACGAGTTTGTGTATATGTGTAGAGTTAATTATCGATCAGAGACGTCCATGGCCGATCTGCCTGAAAGTCTGAATTATTCACCTGTCCACTTCAGATCCCACGGGAATCTCGAACTTGGTGACAGCCAAGTCCTTTGACCTTTTTCTTTCTAGTGCTCATGTATGAGACAGTTTTATTAGCCCGATGTGTATGCATTGTTGTGTATGATACAAGGCACCCTCCCGCCGTCAATAACTCTGATCACCGATCAAGAGTCGAGAAGTTGTTTTCCAAATCTAAATACTCACACAGGGAGGATATGCATGTCATATCGACGACAAGTGATGCCAGTGAACATCTAACTTTGTCGTCCTCTGTTTGCGTACGCGTTTCCTGTGTAGGGATGCTCATCAGGGCAGAATAGCTTATAAATAAGTCACTGACGTCGGATTTGAGTTTCGTGAAATCACATGAACGAAGACACCACGCTGCCGATATAATACGTGGTTTCTAAAAAGTCTATTTGCAGCACGATGGATGAAGCTGGAAATGGCAAAGATCGCAGTTCCGCGTTAATGTGGAACGAAAATTCGTAAAGCCAATTTGCGTATTCGACACTATCCAAATGCAAATTGTACCATGGAATTTAGGGTTTTTGGACCACTCTCTGAGAGCACATCTGAAACCGCTCATTTTATTGTCTACCCAGGAATATCGCATTGCAATTGAAGATAGCTTCAACTGGTTCGCCTGAAAAGGGTCAATAAAAAGGCATATCTTGAGAATTTTTAAAATATACATGTCAGTACAAAGACAGGTCACAACACAATAGTATATCAGGGCCTCATCTTCAGTCCACTTTCGTAACGGAATGATTCAGGTATGGGCTGATCAAGCTGAGCGATGTTCTTATATATATTCTTCTTCCATGAAGGCTTGGAGTCTGCGCCACTACTGATCGCCGCGAAAAATTGCCTTGCAGCCTGTTCTATCACTGTAGGAAACTCAATTGGCATCTAGGATTGAGAAAGTTGTTGAAAATCTCATTGATAAAAATGTAGGTTCTGTGCGACTTGGGTTGCTTTTATTGGGCTATAGCTATGTTACTCACCTTCGTTTCAAGCCCACGATTATAGTGGAGAATCATAGTCCGACATAGTTCATGGCTTGGGGTGATATGAACACTGTCCACAGACTTAAGCCCTGAAGCTATAAGTCCCCGAACGTACCGTTCGATGTGGATGTAGAAGAACTCCCTGAAAAACATGGAAAATCACCGCCTTCAGCCTCATGAGTCCCAATAACATAACTGGTCTATTAGTCTGAAGCGGAAATTAAACAATGACGCAAGCAAAATGTATTTTGGACAACCAGAAGGCTACATGCAAAGGACTTGCTGGTTGGAGTCATCACGTCATCTTCCCAAACGTGTCGTCTGTTCACAACCGCGTCTTCACAACAGCAGAGCAGACGATGATGAAAAGGATCATGAGGAATAGCTGTTTTGTTTGGGCTTACCGGAAGTTGCTGAACCACTTGACTAGCTGTGCAGTATTATATCGAGTGAAGGATACCTCAGGAAAGAAGGATTTAAGGTAGGAGGATGTGGGATAGCGTGCGTAAAGAAACATCAGTTTGGCTTTTCGAAGGTGAATCCCATTGAGTAGTCCACCCTGAATGGTAAAACAATTATGGTGTATATCAGAAGATCTGAAGGACACAAGCTAAGGGAGTTTGTATTTCAGTTGTAATTTGGAGAAAACCTCCAGTCTTTTGAGACGACGCTCTCTAGAAACTGCTTAGTGTGCTCAACCCCCAGCAGGTACGATGAGGTAAGGTGCTTATTCGATGAGCAAATATTAAGCGACCTTCTGTAGAGTATGCATGATCTAACTAAAGGAGGCTGCTTCGGGACTCGCAGCGAATTATCTTATTTTTATTATCCGTCAACTTCCGAAGAGGCGTATTGACTCACGTTTAGTAGAAATAAAATCCCCTCATTGTCTGTAACCAACAACATATATGACAGGTGGTGGGGCATAATAGGAAACAGAAGGACTTCACTGAATTATTTAGGTTCACAATCCCTGTAAAATCTGCCTACCTTGTTGAGACAGACCTCGTCTGCTGGAGTAACGGTAGTCGATTTGGTCTTGGTGTGAACTGTCACTGTTCCGTTTCCATCAGTGGATACGTTTCCTCGTTCACTCACCGGAAGCAAGTCGCAACGCCTACTTGCTATCCTTGTTACCTTCTCGTCTTCCTCTGTTTCTGTCCTGCCCAAAGGACTCAGTGGGAAGCAGGCATCGTCTCGTCCATCATACTTAAGCCACTTCGAGGATGAAGATTCACCTTTAGTAGAGCTGCGTCTTTTCATGCTCTTCGGGCCAAATTCCTCGCCCTCCTTCGACATCTGCTGCTGCTGATGATGATGATGGCCCGATGTGGTTGCCATTGTTGACGATGGATTCGCTTCCGCTCTCTGCAAACTCAGTCGCACCATTTCCCGTACGTTTTGTTGAAGTCTGGCCATCACGCTGAGTAGCAGTTCCGCGGAGAGGCCTCTGTCATCCTCCCGCTGACGCTGACAACTTGGCGGCTGTGACGACACCGAGGCCTTCGTGAGTGGGGTTTTGGTTACTTCACTAGTTACCTCATAGGCGTTTGGCGTGACCGACGGCTGCCCCGGGGATTCCAGGGATGACCATCTGCTGACGGTCGTCTGTGGTGTCAGGGGCGGCCAGAAGAGTCCAGTAGGACTGAGAACTGGAATAGACTGCAACACGGGTGTGGAGAGGAGAAGTGCCGGCGGCGGGACGACAAAGGGAGTGGAGAGGTCGAAACTAAAGGGACCGTAGGGTGCGGAGGGGGCCTCGAAAGACAACGGCCCTGGACGTCTCTGTTCCTTCTGGCGATGTCTGGGGAATGGCTGTCGGTTTTCAGAGTTGGGGTCGATAGAGTGGAGACACAAATCTGCCAGGTGTTTTTGTTGGAGAGGGAAGTTTCCAGTCTGTGTGAGGTCCTCGTCGAAGCCTGAGTCATTGTTTGTCGGACTGCTACAGGACAATTGCAGCCCGATGAGCGGGTGCAAGTGTGTGTTGATTTCCGCATCGGAAGTAGTTAGATGACGACCAAGTTGTTGGCTTCTTAGGGGTTGCACAATGTTCGAGCGCTGTGACATCCTCGATCTTATTTTTAATAAGAATAATCGTCAAAGTATAAAAATTATTAGGCAACATTTGGTTATCACGGGAGAGAAACTGAAGTTTGCTTTACGGAAGGATCTGGGCTTGTCTTTCAAAGGGTCACTACCCGGAGGTATCCTGTCTCTATCGATTTGCAGCTATCCACATGACTCGTTCACTTAGAGAACGGGTTGGAGTAAAGGCAAGGGTCGATTACGCTGTTCTGGTCCCAAGTGTAAGTGCAATGTGGGCATTAAAAGTAAAGTAAGCCGAAGGGGGTTGCTACAGTCAAAAGTGGGCAAAACCGCCGAGGCTGAAACGGGAAAGGCAACCTGATGTATGACAAATTTGACAGCATAACCAACCCTTGTCGGAGTAAACGTTGATTTGACAAAGTTGAAAAAGTATTTTCTATGTGACAGGTTTCTGGTTTGGTATTTCTGGAACTACTACACTGGCTACATGCATTGAGCTCTGTTTTCGTCTTATCTTCAGTACAGCTTCTGGCATGCCGGACTTACAATCCTCTAACACGTTTGGGTACCTGGTGTTTTCGGCCATCCATTTCCATTATTCTACCAGAGGTTTTCAGCAAAGACAAGTATGTACACTTGTAAGAAACAAAAAACCTTTGTTCCAATAATGAACCTCCCATAAAACGTCTCTCATTTTAAATAAGCCCGCTGGTTGAGCGCAGCCGAACTAGGTTGTATGAAGCCCGATTCCTGCTTTCAGTATGACTTGCCTAGCGATCGAAAACGAAAAAAATGGATTCTCGCGAACTAAATTGTTCCTGGTTAGTTGGTTTTAAAGATAGGGCGCTCAAGTTTATGATTATTGAAAAAATGCACTTACGGGGTACTTTTTCCTTGTACGTGGCACTGGTTCCTTCAGTTGACAGTGTGGAAGCAAGGAAGGACTTTTGTTGACCATTCACTCCTTCCTTATATTTGTAATCGGTCCTGGTTGTGCTCAGCCAATCACGTGTAAGATGCTCCGGTTTACAGTCGTGGGGTTGCTTACAACCGCGGTGAGGCCTACGCTGCAGCGGTTTGAGTAGACGGCACAGGGGGGAGGGGTTTCTGTGACGTCTCACCAACTGAGGGAGGAAGATCCGTGATCTTTTCCTCAGCCCGCACCGCTCATCCTTGACGCGTGCCGTCCCCATGCGTGCTCCCATAGCCCGCATCGCCTGCCTAAGCACCTGCAGATTAGCTTCACACTCGTCCTCGGGTCCTGCGGGGACGAGGTATTGTGGCGGCGGCGGCGGCGGCGGCGCGACAGCAGCCAGTTTCGTTTCTCTTCCCTTCCCCTACCATCACCCTGTGTTCCGCGTAGAAAGAAGAGGGTAGTGAGCCGAGTATGCTGGGTTGGGGCCAGCGGGACGGTTGAGGTCGCCTTCATCAGGGCTAATTAGCGACCTCCAGCGGGGTAACGGAAAGGGAGAACGAAAATCCGTCAGGAGGGGCGACGCTGGCCCTCCCCCCAAGCAATTTACTGCCAACACACTTGAAGGCGGAAGTGCAGAATCATCTTACAAGCAAGATACAGTAGATTATAAGGGCTTGGTGGGAGTTTTCCCATCCATCTAATTCCGCACCCTCTTTCTTAACACGAACATGGGGTCTGTGCAAATGAAATGAATTTCAATGGCTGTGACTAGTTGTAACATTATTTGGTCTCGAGGTCCTTCAATCGGTCAACTTCCAGCAGCTGACTGTAGGCTTATAGGACATTCAAGGCTGGGCAGAATGGACATATAGCGCACCCGACTTTCGGATAATATCTTGCCTGTGTTATGATGCTTCCTATGCAGTTCTCTTAAATAGGCATCTCTAGCTAAGCCAAATTAACTAGTGCGCCAGTGAAAGCTATTAAGGCGGTAGACGACTGATGGAGTCTCACCATGGCCTTAAGGTGAACTAGTAGCACACAATTATTCCTCGAACAGGTGATGGCAACCAGTGTCAAAAGGTCTAAACTGGACGTCAGTTTACACAGTCGTATTCCATATTATGAATGGCGATGGGGGGTCAGACCTAAGACTGATTATCAATTTACTGATGAGGGTACTGTCCGGTCAAGGTCCGAGTTGCTCGAGAGTTAAACCACCAAGTTGTTCCGACACTCGTATATGGATGTGAGTCGAATGGAAAGGTAAACAATGGTCTATCCTTTAAATCAACTAATGCTAATAAAAACACTTGCGGACCAAGGCAATGATTCACACGGAATGCGCGGACACCGTTCTGCTTGACACTCCTGCAGAAAACTAGTTCAATTCCTACAGAGAGAGATTAGGAGCTTTGGATGTGTCTCACTTCCCCGTCATTTAAGATTTGCCTCTCCTAGGGCCACGTCTGCGTAACCCTTCTGTCAATTGCTTTTGGGTTTGTATCTTTGAGTTATTAAATTATAAGCAGCACACAACAACACCGAATCTTTGGATTCACGCGTACAAACGAAAGTACACAGCTATTGCAACTATATCGCTCTTTTCAAAAAAGATGCGTTTAAACTTGCGAATGAGGCATTGGAAATATGGGCGCGAAAATGGGCGGAAGAAAATGAGAATAAGAACCCCCCGCGGTATTGCAGGTGGCTTTGCGTTGAATTCCGGGAAAATAAGGGTCAAGGTTAAGATTGCGGTCAAAGTTAAGTTTGGGGCTAGCTTCAGGGTACGGTAGTAGGCAACCTTTCCGGAATTCGACGTAAGGACATTTGCATTATCGAGGAGGAGCGCTCCTAATCCCGTGTCCTATCAGAAAGAGGAACTTTTCAGTGGGATGGACTTCTAAAGAATTTTAAAGCATGTTGGTTGCAAAGGATACTTTGTGAAAAATTGACAGAACCTTCCACAATATCAGTTATGGAACACCTTAACTCCGACCCACAAAAAGATTGCGTCAGAAGGCCAAAAACTGTCGTACCAAAAAACAATCAACAAATCCGTTGGGACATGTTACTAACAAAGACCGGGGAGGAGTCTCGTGGTTCATTCTGCGACATCGCCCAGCCACACCCCAAATCCAGGCCGGGAAGACTGGAATTCAATCTGGGTTGTTTGGCTGTCCAGGATTCGACTGAAGCGTGCCGCCACGCGAATCATGGAATCCACACTTGGCTCACAGACATAAGGCTCATTTAAAGTCCCACAGAGGGCGGTGCTCATCCGTTTACCCCGTCGCAGAAAGGAGTACAGACGATTAGGCCTTGCCTCGGGGCTCCAGGCTAGGGCCCTCGAGGGCCGTTAAAAATTTCATATCTGACTGCAAGTGCGCCACTGACGTACATTGGCTAGCCCAGAGCTTCATCGTTTCTCCACTTATAAGATATTAATCGTCCGAAAGTAAATAGGGCACAGTCCGACTGTCGCAAACGACGACCTCCACGATGGGCCCAACACAGCGGGCAAAACACCAATGACCTGCGTGTACAGTAGGTGAGCTAACTCATGAAATGTCAGCCGAAATTCCGAAATGCGTTTTCTTTTCGAAAAGATTTATTAAGTAGGGTTGTAAAACTAGCCAACCTGCAACATAATTCTATAATATTTCAGTTACCACAGGATGCCGGCTTTTAAATGAACTTCCTTCCGGCTGCATGCAAAAGCTATACTCTGCAAAAAATGACTACTTATGTAGCATGAATTTTTCTCACTGATTTTCGATGCCCCTAAATGTCCAATTATGTTTCATGGAAAAATGCATAAAAATATTCATTCTCTGGCTCATTCGGTAGAAAATTATGTTGTCTTTCGATCTTATACTCGGAGGGACATAATTCGGTTTTCAAAAACTTTCCCAATTCCCGAATAATTTTGAACCCGCTCTACCGTTACACTTAGATTCGGGGTTTCCAAACTACAAGTCGTATATTTTCCGCGTACGGAAAACCACACATTCCTCTACGGCAATAAAGGGGAAACATATAGGGTTCATAAAATTTGGCATTGGATTTGAGCCATATTGTTAACTTTACAAGCCACATTGGTAAATGCAGAGACATGACGATTTATGAACGGCCATTTCGCGGTATTTAAAAGTCCCTCAATTAGAAACTTTGTAAAAACCGGATTATGTCCCTCCCTCGAGTATACAATAGAAGAAGGCATAATTTTCTACCGAATGAGCCAAAGAATGAATATTTTTATGCATGTTTTCCATGAAATATAATTGGACATTTAGGGGCATCGAAAATCAGTGAGAAAAATTCATGCTACATAAGTAGTCGATTTTTGCAGAGTATAGCTTTTGCATGCAGCCGGAAGGAAGTTCATTTAAAAGCCGGCATCCTGTGGTAACTGAAATATTATAGAATTATGTTGCAGGCTGACTAGCTTTACAAGCCTACTTAATAAATCTTTTCGAAACGAAAACGAATTTCAGAATTTCGGTTGACATTTCATGAGTTAGCCCACCTACTGTAAATTAGTCAATATTGGGGTTGACTTGCGCAGCATCTACAGCCCACTTCCTTCCCTCGCCCATCGAATGCTTCAATAGCAAGATAGTGTCAGGACGAACAGAGGTGGGCGCAGGCGCAGTGACTGATAAAACTAAACATCTCCTCTGTGGGTACCACAAACGCCCTGGTCCCCACTGCGAACACCAAGCTACTATAAAGGCGACCCTGGTCTCACATCAGTGAAGGTCCCATAAAGGTAGCATTATGAATTTGTCATCGCAGCCTGACCCTCAGCTCTCCATTCCCTCCAAAGTACTCCCACGAGGACCGAGTTGCCCCGTCAGTTGGCGACCTTCGAAGACAAGACTCTTAGTGCGTCGTAATAGATTCACGAGAATCCCAATTACTATAGGGAGGATTCCGCGGACTTCCCTTGGGGATGAATTCCTCAGTGTCAGCCTCACTCCCTATTCCCTGTCCAATGCACCAGTCGACTTTGCAAGCCTCTTAACTGACTGGTTATGGGACTGCTCGGAGGCGCTGATACAGATAAACAGCCTGTATACACGCGTTGCACACACGAATTGGT